TCATTGGTGCAATCAGTACTCTTGGGGCTGCTTATGCAACTAAAAAGTTGAGAGATTTGCAGTAGGAGAGTTGGTAGTATTCACGAGCCTGTAATTGTAAGATAATAGCGGGATTCATTTGGATGGGGATTGATATTCAAATTTGTGGGTAGCATTGCATGGCGTTTTGGGTGAAGAGTACTTGTTTGAGGTAGCTCGAAGTTTGTTGTTGTCTTTTTTGCAAGGTGTTGGGAATAGATTGGGATGGATGGATGGATACTGGAATAGATGACATGAAATATGTCTATTTCTTTTGTGGTTTGCTGAAATGCTCTAGATAGATAGGTGGATGGAATTATGTGCATCATCACTGCTTCTTGTTCGTGTATTATTGATTAAAGGGGTGAATAGGTGTGTATTGATCGTTCGATTGGGAATCGCGTGTTAAGCATGATTTGAGGAGGGGTTTCAATAAAATAATGGAGTTATTGAATCATATTATGGTTTGTCTTGAGGTAAGCTTCGAATGTCTGTTTTATGGTGGGATATTGGAAGGCATCCATGTAATGTCTTCCTGACTATTCATTTATAAAATCCTCTTTTATGAGACAAAGAGTATAAATATTGAGAGGGTAGGTGAGACCTCTCTTCTTACCTAGGAAAGTGTACCTAGGAAAGTGTCTACATGTGTATAATTTGTCATCGATGAGGAGCTATCTGTCTAGCTGGCTGCGTTTATGATTTCCTAGCCTGCATAGAAAGAGAACATTCTCCCATTCGACGAATAGAATTGAAGTGCAACTGAGATTGAGAATGGTCTTCGATATCCGTTTAGAACACACTTGGGGTGTTCATTCGAACAAGAGTAAACTGAGAATCCATTTTACTGCTAGTAATATGACGATCTGATGCTAGCATAACAAAAACACAACACATGCCCACAATGACATTATTGATGTGTTATCCAAGTTCGTAATGACCATCTACCTATATGTTCACAAATATTCAATAAATGCTTACAAAAGATACAAAAAGAGACAAAATCTCAAGAATGATGACTTTGGCAGGGGCAAAACGAGAATCTCGGAGCAATTGAAGCTCCCTAGCCGGTTCGAACGACTGACCTGACGATAATAGCGATGTACTACTGCAATCGTCCGCTCTACCACTGAGCTAAGGAAGCGATTCTTATGATGCTCCAAGATGAGTTCTTTCATTATTATATACCAAGCACGAAAGGGTGAACTAAACATACTTGGCGGGGTGGGGATGCGGAGTGGAGCGTCGAAACTCATGTTGAAATGGAAATGAAAATGGGTGGAGATGGAATGAGGGGTTAAAAGATGGGATTATGAGCAAAGAATCAAGCTCTATGGGTATACAATCATGTGATTAAGGACCGCTGGCGCAACGGTAGCGCGTTCGACTCCAGATCGAAAGGTTATCCGTTCAAATCGGGTGTGGTTCAATACCTCCTGTGATCGCTGACGTTTTTGCTTTTGTCGGCTTGAGGGAAACCGCAAGAGTTCACAGTTGGAGACTTGAAGGGAAGGAGATGAAGAACACAGAGCGCGTGTGAACTGTGAAGAGGTGGGAACGTTTTGGCTTTTGGTGGGGGGAGAGCGTGCGGGACTTCTGGGTCTGATCTGAGTCTTGGAGATAATTTAGTCAGATTTGTTTTTGCTGGGTTACTTCTCATCAACTAATTCGCTGGATATAGTGACTATCCGTGCCTGGGTGAGATAAACCATAGTATTAGAAATTTAGAATAGAGGATTTTATTCAATTGAAGTTTATCCATTCAATCAAATAGTTGAATAGTCTTCTTTTTTTTCAAGGTACCACGGCTGGTGGATTGATAGTGGGTGAATGAAGGGGTTAGCCGAGCCGGGATGGGGTTGAGGGTCGTCTAGCTCCACACATCAATTTTTCATGCATGTGGTGGGGGAAGGATCAACGAATGTCTGATCACGTTTCTTATTTACTGAGGCCGATAACGCGCATTTGGCATAAACCCCAAAAATAGATTTCTGCCTAAGCTAAAATCTAATTTAGAATTTAGTGGTGTGTATTTAAGAATAAGTTTTAATTCAGTACACAACCCTAAAAGAATTGATAAAATGGAAAGGAAAGAGATATTATTATTAATTAGAATTCAAGGAATCGATTGATATAATTACTTTTAAATTATCTCAAAAATTGAAATTTAAATTTAATATAAAAATATTCCTAATAAAATTGAAAAAGATCTAATTTTGATATTCGGTCTTTTATTCTTTAAGTATTATTAAATTGAATACAAATTTCATTTTTTGAGATAATTTAAAAGTAATTACATCAATCAATTCCTTGAGTTCTAATTAATAATAACATCTCTTTCCTTTCCATTTTATCAATTCTTTTAGGGTTGTGTACTGAATTAAAATATTCTGTTTAATATTGATAATATTATTCAAGGTTTGATTAGTCATTGAGCGTAATAATTAAGGTATCAAGATAAAACAGATTCCTAAGTATAATGAAAGTAGTTAGAATTGAATATAAATTTTAATTTTTGAGATAATTCAAAAAGAAATACACCAATCGATTCCTTTAATTCTAATTAATAATCAAGCCTCTTTTTCTTTTATTTTATTAATTTCTTTAAAGTTGTGTACTGAATTGAATTCTCTTATTTAATATTATAAAACCTAACTAAAGCTATATTAGTCATACAAATTAAACGAGCTCGAGACGAGATAAGCTGAGATAAGCTCGATAAGGAATTCTTACTAAGCTTGAGATAAGGAATTCTTACTAAGCTTGTTCGCTTATTTCGCTTATCCTAAAGTGGTCTATGCATTATAAGGAAAACTATTTGAAGATAGATTTTAAATATTAGTACACTTCCTATAGAAAATTTCGAAATGAATTCTAAAAACAGATTAATAAAGCTAACCCTAAGGGCTATTCAATGATATAATTTGTTTCACAAAAAGTCTTCAATAAGATTGAATTCTATCTTTCTTTATTAGATTTCTATAAACACACCATACAGATTCTAAAATTTCTTTTTTCATTAGGCAGAAATCTATTTTTGGGGTTTATGCCAAATGCGCGTTATCGGCCTCAGTATATTGTCCCCCACCATACTCTTCGGAGCGGGATAATCTTTTGAATGGGTATATATTTTTGAATCTCGAGCACCTCCACCATCAAACATCCCTCGTGGCGCAATTGGCTAGCGCGTTCGACTGTTATCTGTAATAAGTCACGTGATCGAGAGGTTGGTGGTTCGAGCCCACCCGAGGGAGCTTCATCTTTTGCAACTTTCTTTTAGATATCTCGTTGCGTTGATTTTTGGTGCTTTTTTGAAGTTGTTGAATTTTTGATTCTGGCCGACGTGGGACGCGACCAATGAAATTGAATAGCCGAAGCCCGACCCCACCAATTTTCAATCTGTGTTTGTAGTTTGCTATATTTCTTCTTTGATCAGACGATAATTCTTAACTGGTGAATGAATAATTTACTATAGTAACAAAGTCGAGACGTTAGTTACGTCCATCTAATGAGTCTCGCATTGTTGCAAGTTCCAATATGAATCTAGAGCATTTATTAGTAATAGTAAGTAGTCTTATCAAAACTATCAGTAAAGGCTTTCATTTGTTCTGAATTAGCGTTTCATGTACGAAAGAAAATAGCCATATTATTAAGGCTAGCTTTATATCACTACTCGTGCTGCCAGAAAGTATGCAACTCCAACGCAAGATGCACATACCACAAGATGGTAAACTACAAGAGGACTAACCTGGTTTTCATAGCGCCGGAGTTGCATACTTTCTGGCCGCACGAGTAATAACACATCATCATTTGTGGAATACTCTGCCTAGTCACCAGTTTACCTACCAACCGAACCTAGACAAATAGATGATCTAATCTAATTAGGTTACCGCTTTTGAAATAGTCTAGGGTTTAATAGGATGGAAAGGTACGAGTACCTTGGTGGTGTATTTCAGACGGGCTGGGCTTAAGTGGTCCCCGCATTGGGTTTCGCGAATCATGTATATATATCCTACACGAGTCCTTCTCCACCGAACATTATCCATCACAACAATATGAAGGCAGTCTTTCTATAGCCATTCTAATTTTCCATTGCCAATTCGATTTTCCATCAACATTTCGATTTTCCATCGCCATCTAGATTCTTCTTCATTCGCTGCCAAAACGCAATATGTGGTGGTGGTAACGTCGTCGCTCCGGCAATCGACTCTGATGCGATCTGGATAATAATGGTTTTGTACTTCGCCATTTACTGTTTAGAACAACCCCCTTTACATTCAGTGTAGCGGTTGTCATTCAGCTTTAGTTGTTTAGAACAACCCCTTTTACATTCAGTGTAGCGGTTGTCATTCAGCTTTAGTTGTTTAGAACAACCCCTTTTACATTCAATGTAGCGGTTGTCATTCAGCGTTAGTGGTTTAGAACAACACCGGTATGATATGTGATGATGGTTATATCCTTAATAGGACTAGCTGTTGTTGTCATTATCAGGACTTTTTTCTGTAACACAGAAGCGCTTGCTATTATAGCTTGTGCGGGAGATGATAGCTTAGCCTTATGCTTCGCTTGATCCTCATTGCAATGTCTGGCGTGCCGGGCATGTAAAGAGGATCTATGATTATACTCACCTATAATACTACACATTTATAACCTTGAAAGTCCTGATGCCACATTATTCAAGGATGGGGTGACTTTTATCAATAGTTAATATGAGCATGCTTGGCCGATTATACATATGTTATTGGAATAGTCCTGGCACGATCTGTATAGTGATGTGGTTACGTTCTTTGACATGTATATTAATGTGATTCGCCCACCACTTCACCTAATAACATTTATTGATCATTCCTCAATCTAGTTTCATCATAAGCATCAAGGCTATTTATAGTCTAGGTCATTAGCAATCCTACGTACTGTGTGAGGACCAGCATTGTTCTTCTCTTGTCAAATTTATCGCTAACTATGATTGTAGGAATTAGATCATGCCTTTTCAAGTTGAGAAACTCCAACTACAAACTCTGCTCCGCGAGAGAGTGTTTGTAACATGGGCGAATTCAGCAGGCGAACCTTTAACGCTAGGTTCTTGCTCGCATCGTAACAAGAATAATCCTGAATTTATCATGGAAGCAGGCTATGATATGGAAGGACATATTCATATTCACTTTTTTCTTACAGTGACTATAAAGTTTGGTGGCAAGAAACAACCACTGGAGATGTTGTTGGTTGTTCCTCCAAACGCCAACTTCGCAAACGCCCCCATACCTCTTACAAAACTGAACGCCAACGACCTACCACTCCCCGATGACTTACCTCTGCCTAACGCCTTTGTACTTCACGAAGCCGGCATAAGCGAATCAGGACATGTCATTCTCGTACCATTCAATCTCACTACGAAAGGATTCGTCATTATGGATAAGACTCCTCCGATTATTAGGCCCTGCAGCGGCAGCACAACCCAATTGATTCGTAGCCTCGAATCTCTATCTAACACGTCCATCTTCAACGTATGCATCAGACCGAGTGATTATGCGCGGGAGGGTTTGAAAGAACTTTGCAAGCGCTTAAGCAACACTGGTGCCGCCACACACAAAACTGATATGAAGGAAATGTACCTTCAATAAGGGTCTATATTGGCGGAATGGGATAAAGTTAAATATCATGATCGACAAGACGTACAACCGCCACCATATACCGATAATCCTGCTCGACCAGTACCGAAAGTGCAGGTTCCTCGGTCACCACCGATCACACTCGAAATGGAAAAGTTACCATACAACACTGTCGAAATAGTAGTTGCAGAGACATCGAATCAAACTCCAGTTAACTCAAACCCTGCACCGGTATTGCATGGCATTATCTCTCCTGGCGCTGGAGAGCCGTCGAGCGTGGACTTGAGGGATGTCGAGGGGGACTCGAGATGCATCGACGTGGCCCTTGACGTAGGCTCGGATGAAGCACTTCTTGCCAACTTGAATTCCCGAAAACCAAGTCAGCAACTCAAAGATGAGGCAGTTTCAAAGATGCTTGAATCGAAGTTTGTGGATTGGATAACCGAAGCAATAATAATAAACCCAGAGGTTAACGACCATAAACGCTTAATAACTAAATTATCAATTCTTGGGGATTGTGTTCGTACATCCAATACTCGAGCAGTGTAGGCAATAGTATACTACAGTGAAACTGTGGCGCGTATTAGCATATTGATATTGCAGCTAGTATGTATACAAAGGAGGTTATACTACTCTCGTACATATTCATATGCCTAAAGAATACTAGCAATATATTGAAATACTGGAATCCAATACAAAATATATACATTCCTATCCTAATTAGGCTAGAAATAATGGATTCCCATTCAATTTGAAATAAGGAATGGAATTTTATTACCTAATATGAATAGGAATCCCTTTTTTCTAGCCTAGTTTAGATAGGAATGAATATTTTATAATGAATTCCAGTATTTCAGTATATTGCTAGCAATATTGAATAAATAAATGATATTGAATATTTTCAGTAGTATTGAATTCTATATTATATATGGATGTATTTCGAAAAGAATTGATACGCACCATTAAACTAACCCGTATACGGATTACGGGAAATACTATTGCCTACACTGTACTCGAGTATTTGATGCTACTAGATCTTGGTGTTCTGCCATATTGCTCTATGACCCGTTCGATTCCGACAACACTATCGGGTTATGGGAGGAGAGAAACCGATGGCTCATTTCAGATATTGCCAAGCTGATTAAATGGGCTAACACATTTCACTATGGCGCCGAGATCAACTCGCTCTTGATAAACGATTTCGTAAAGTTAGGTAGCGTTGCTCGCAATTTCGCCCTGCACCCTGGAAATGACAAAGCCGAGTACATTCGTCAGAGAAGTGTTTGTGTTGTTCGGGTATGGACTGAATTTGGCAAGTCGAAAAGAAACATTAGTGGAGATACCAGCGGGCCAGGTTCTCGAAAACGGGATGACTTGGAAACTGACAGCAATATGTCTAGGCGAGCAAGAAATATAGTGTGAATGGCAATTCTGTGTCTTTAATCTCCTACCTCCTTACTCTTGTATACTTTCAATGCGACTTACTCTTTTTTTAGTTTTTTTTGTGTTTCCTTTCTCGCCTTCCATCAAATCAAACATATTTTTCTTACGTCTAGGCATCTATTTGGGGAATGAAATGCGGGAGAATGGTATCGCTTCGTCCTTGATTGATTAAATTAACGTCTACACTGAGTCTATGACTATCTAAGACGGCTAGGAGCTTTGTAGACTTCTAACAATGATACATGGGGGGTAGCTGGCCTTATTCGACCGTAGCTAATACAGGGTGGGGAGATTGAAAGCCTCAATCTTCTAATGTTTGAATGGGGGAAGTGAAAACTATACTAGGGAACCAAGCCCGGATCGTCCACATAATATTGTCGCCCAAAGAGAATGAATGCTTAAATAAAGTGCGCAAAATCTGTATATATATTGGTCCACGGAGGAGCAACTTCAACTACACATCAGCCACCTTTTACCCGAACCACCCCTTTGTGCTTCTGGATGGAAGTCCTATCACTATCGAAAGTCTACTTTGCATAAATCAAACAGGGGTATCCGTCGAACTTGCTCCATCCTTGCTCGACTTCCTAGCAATCACTGGTGCAGCCGTGGTCAACTTCTTCCTTCTCATCACAAGATATAGCACGGCTCCAATAATAGCGACAACACCTCGGCTACAAAAGCTCCAATCACACCCGCTACCGCGAGACTCATGCCAGAACCGCTGCTACCGGAACTTCCAGTTACTACTTCCGCGTCTCCAGGAGCAAACTCCTTCTGAGAACAGAATCCATTGGTCTGTCCACAAGCAGAGCACCAGGCCTTTGGACTCATGACAGCACGCCCCTCCATCATTGTCCTGAACTCGGTGGTCCATTATTAGAATCGGTGCCATTTCGGAATAAGAATCTGACATTGAGATTCTCAGCGGCAGGGAACGCTCTAGAACTCGAGTCGGACTCGAAAAAAAGCTCGAACACCATGCTAGAAGCATAGTTTGGCAGTCCCGTGAAGTTGTTCGTGGAAGCGAGTGTGATAAGGTTTGTAAGAGCAAAAAATGCGAGGAAGGTATTATAAGATCCTGTCATCAAGCTGAACTTATGCCTGGATACCTCATCGACTCTCCCTTAGCACCTCGAGCTAGGGCATCCTTTGAAGCTTTGGTTCTTGCTACTTGGTCTCTCATGGGCACTTTCGAGAACCAACCCATCACTAAACTCACAGAAAATGATTTCAAACCCCATTTCCATTCTCACAAACCCCTCAATTTCCCATTTCGCTTCAAAATCACAAACGTCTTTGGCCATCATCGCCGTCCATCATATTACACAGAACATAATCTTGTATATCAAGAGTTCCCATCGTAGTCTTCCCCGCTGACATCCCATCTATATAAACCAGATTCATAAGAGGTCGGGTCTCCCAGTAGATTGTGGAAGTAGTATCTCGAAAAGTCTGGTTCATCGTTGTTGTCATCCATACTTTGTATCCCATCCACAGTCTCTGTCAAAGTTAACTCCAGGTTCGCCAGGACATTCTAGTCGCTCACGATCCCCAGATTTTCCATGCGTCCTCCCAGGTCGTCTGCCTGGGAAAGCTCGAGCGAACATCTCTACATGTTCGATCTCGATACAAGCTATTCCACGCCCTTTGTTTATTAGGTATATGTATTCTATAATAGAAGTGAGTGTTGTTGGGTATTCTTGCGGGAAAGAGCGACATACCGTTGTTCAAGCTGGATTCCCATCGAAGAGTGGACAGCATTAAAGATGAGGAGCATTTGCTCTTGCACTTGGACCACGGCTCCTGCAGCCTTTGTATACGAGAACAAAAGGAGCTTGAGCTTGAGGGTTAGCAATGACATACGAGGAGCTGATACAGCGAGGATGGAGTTTGAGGGGGCAAGGTGTCAGCAATATTATGTCAGTGAAGTCTACCTCCACCGAGAGCTAACAATCTCGAGGTAATCCTGATCGCTGTTCAGGTGGTGCACCACATGTCACGAAACACGACTTCCCCAACTATCCCTCGCATCCCAAAGAACATTACAATCGCAGATGGAGCTTGTCACCATGAAAAAGTAATGGGCACCATCAAAAAGTAATGGGCGTTGCCCGGGATTGAACCGGGGACCTCTTACATGGAGAATCAATCGATGAGGACTGATAGATCCCTAAGCAAGAATTATACCACTAAACCACAACACCTGTTTTTATGTGGGTGTGGTGCTTATGTAAATATATACTGCGTGTTTCCACCCCCTTGGAATTCTAGAACGACTCACCATACGTATTTCAATGAACCAGAGATCTCGCTTTTGTATTCAAATCAATCTTAATAAACAACTCAGTATAGATGAAATCGTGTATGTAGACAGATACTCAGACTGATTACAACGATCGGAAGCTTCTTTAAACATCAGACTAGCACATACAATATTTCGTTTCTAAATTCTAATCTTACATCTTTTACCTTTTCCCTATACTTTTGACATGTTTCGAAGCAATTGTAAAGAATAACAGCAGACAGTAAGATATGAGTAGTAGTATAACCAGAAGATTGAATTTCATCATACAAGAAAGAGACTGGGTTTAATTCGAATCCAGAAATTGCTCAGCTGGAAAAGGGTAGTTATTAGCTCCTTATCAACAGCTAGCGGAATGCTAGATCAATATGTTTCAAGCATACTGTGCGCTGAAGTGTTCCCAAGCATTTGAACATGTTGCCACAGGGCCCTAGGGTGGATCCCATCTCTGATAGGGCGCTCCAACTTGTTCTATCGAACATATAGATGTCTACCGCCTCTCCAATATATCACCAGGCCTGATAGTTCAGTGGTAGAATTCTTGCTTTGGGTTGTCCAATCTAAAGTGTAAGAGGTCTCCTGTTCTTTAATTATTTATTATATTTTATATAATAATTCAAATATTATAATTTTCTTTTAAATATCTCAAAGTTAGAATATTTTATTTATTTGGAATATTTATTGAAAGGTATTTTTATAATCTTATCATTTTTATTGTTCTTTAATTATTTATTATATTTTATATAATAATTCAAATATTATACTTTTCTTTTAAATATCTCAAAGTTAGAATATTTTATTTATTTGGAATATTTATTAAAAAATATTCTTATAATCCTATTATCTTTATTATTCTTTAATTATTCATTATATTTTATATAATGATTTAAGTATTAAGTCGGGTACCCCACTTTCGGGCCACCCCCCTTTTGGGCCACTTTTTATACCAAAAATACACCAAAAATGGAATTTATAACTTTCTTATTTATAGATAGAATTTAATGAAAATTTATACATATATAATTTAAATCGATTTAAGCTTATTCTGAAATTTTTAGATTTTTAGGATTTTTCTGTATTGAGAACTAGAGCTTCAAAATATCGATTTTTAAATTTATATAGGAATCACACACAAATTTAATTTTTTTATAAAATCATTAATAACTTTTTAATAAAAATTGCTAAAAATAAACTATAAAGTTTTATTATAAATTTATAGTATATTTAATATAAGAGATTCAGAAAAAATAGAAAATTCCTTATAAATAAATATTTATAGGGGTACCCTCAAAATGACAGGGATTATTTATATTACTCTAAATTCACCGTATACTATATTTCTATATCTGTTAATTTTTTCGAATTTTTTTTTGAATTTCTAAATAGATTCAAGTTTAAATATCTCAAAAACATATATGGTTTTCTTTTAATAATTGTTGTTTAAAAGTTATTAAAGATTTTATAAAAGTTTTAAATTTATATGTGATTCCCATACAAATTTGAAAATCGATATTTTGAAGTTCTAGTTCTCAATACAGAAAAATCCTAAAACTCTAAAAATTTCAGAATAAGCTTAAATCGATTTAAATTATATATGTATAAATTTTCATTAAATTATATTGAATATTGATAGAGATATTAATAGGCCTAAAAAGTGATTTTTGGTGTGAAAGGGTGGCCCAAAACAGGGGTGGCCCGAAAGTAGGGTAACCGACTTATACTTTTCTTTTAGATATCTTAAGATTAGAACATTTTATTTATTTGGAATATTTATTGAAAGGTATTTTTATAATCTTATCATTTTTATTGTTCTTTAATTATTTATTATATTTTATATAATAATTCAAATATTATAATTTTCTTTTAAATATCTCGAGATTAGAATATTTTATTTATTTGGAGTACTTACCGAAAAGTATTCTTATAATCCTATTATCTTTATTATTCTTTAATTATTCATTACATTTTATATAATAATCTAAATAACTTTTTTTTAAATATCACGAGATTAGAATACTTTATTTATTTGGAATACTTACCGAAGGGTATTCTCATGATTTCTATTATCTTTATATTTTACATAATAATCCAAATAACTATTTTTTAAACATCACGAGATTAGAATACTTTATTTATTTGGGATACTTACCGAAGAGTATTCTCATGATTTCTATTATCTTTACATTTTACATAATAATCCAAATAACTTTTTTTCAAACATCACAAGATTAGAATACTTTATTTATTTGGAATTCTTACCGAAGAGTATTCTCATGATCCCTATTATCTTTATCCTTCAATCATCTATCTCTCTTCTTTTTTGAATTTCATCGAAATTTAAGATGATTTTCTTTGATTCCTTAAAAGATAAAACATCCTCATCACCTTAACCCTTTATCTTACAATTGATTTCTCATTCTCACAACATTCATATCTCGATTGAATTCAACAGTTATTATCCTACTACATCTTTCTAGCTCTTATAGAGTACTTACCACAGAATGATATGAATACTAATTCATTGATAGATATCATATCAATTGTGATGAGCTTGAATCCCAACATCCAATATTTTTGAAGATATCTTTTCTTTACCCTGATCCAATATCTACTTCACGGTGAGTACTCCATTGCAGCTTTTTATGCTTTTATATCAATGAACAACTAATCAAAAGTATAGTCTTGATTTGAGATAAATTGTCCTTTAAAAAACAAAACTTGCTTAGTCTGTGGTAGGTATTCTATAGTAATAGAAGCTGCATATACAATATATCGCTTTTATAAATTCACATCTTTCCGGGAATCATTTTCTCTTTCCAAACGATGATAAGTTGTTGTCGAATTACATGACCCTGCTTGCATGGGGTTTGGGTCAACTTGGTTGGAACAGGAAAAGGGGGAAAGGGGGAAGATTAAGAAGTTTCCTACGAAGTACCCAGTCCAGTATTGGATACTTTGACTGAGGTCTACGGTAAGTGCCCTGGCTTTGTGAAAACCTAAACATACATTGTATGAATTTGGCATTATAAAAACTGTTATCACCCAAGTCAATCATGTGATTGATTTCCATCAGTGTGGATATGTACCTATATTATATATATTTCGGTAGGTAATCCATCAGTATGATAAAGTGCAGTTAGATTTACTCTGAATCGATTCAGTTGTGACTGAATAGTAAAGATAGGATGCTACTTCTACATTTCATTCCACTCCTTATTCATGCTTAACATTTTCCTTAATACACTTTCGCATTCTGTATATTTGAATGACATTTGTCTTGAGATCCATAAATTTTATAATACTGTGAGTACTTACCGTAGATGATATGTAATATCATCTTGAAAATAAACATCTTATCTATATCCAAGTAGATGCATAGCAAAGATCTAGATGTTAATAAGAAATATAATTCAAATACTTGCTGGCAAATCGTGTTGGAATACCAGCCATAGCTTATAGTTGCGATATACTATTATGGTGCAAGCCAAATTCTATACATATAATTTTCCATCAACTATCTATATGGATTATTCAATTATTAAATCATTCGGGCTACGGCAGGTACTCGATACAGATCGCATCATGTTATAAACAAAACTGCAACTCACTTCCCATCCAAAGATTCGTGAGTAGATCTCTATTATGTATTTCCCTATCTCTCTAGCTTATCTTATTACTTGTGATCCCCAGCCTGTTTCATGATCTTGTAGTTTTACAGGCTGATAATTTTGGTCACCAGGGTTTCACTTTAATCGTCTTTCATTGAATCTCATTCGCATCCATTTACTCATCGAATATAAGCGATCCAAGCCTTTTCTAAGGAGATATGAGCTTTCCCTAAGAATACAAATTATTCATTGAGGAACCTTTGGTGGAGAATACTATTTATTATCATTAAGTAATGATAAAGAGTTCCATCAAAGTTATTGAAACCTTGGGTTTCATCTCTATATCAAAAAGGGGGGGTAATCGAGAGGAAAAGCATGTGTGCGGGGTAATATTAGTACCAATGAGGGGATTCCGGGGTAGCTCTGGAGGAGCTATACACGTAGTATGGGATGGATTATTGTGGGGTTCCAGCTCTGAATCTGGATGTTGTACCTGCAAATGTTCATCATAAACTCTACAATTGATATTCCATAACAATTTCCCCAAAATACAATCTCAATCCGTGGAAAATCGTTTGTTGCAGCACATGTTTATTACCTAGTTATCATTCATTTGAACCCTTGAATGCTTAATGTATCTCTGGGAAACGAAAATTTCTTAGCTGGGGTGCTTACCGTAGAACGAGGATTTATTAGTAAAATCAAGATCCTAAGGGGGTAGCCTTAACTTCTGGATATCAGAGATTCAGCGACACTTCCTAGTACTAATTGTGTGGAGTTTTGTCGAGGTTCCTCGAACGAATTATAATTTCCACTATGCTTCTTTCAAAGTATCCAATATAAGGAAATGAGATCTGATTCATTTATGAGATATGCAACAAGCAGTAAGAATCCGAATTGGTAAGTATGAGGTGGCATCACAAGAGTTATTCTAAAATACAATGAGGCTATAGTCAGCCGGGTATCATTTGATAATCACTCTAACTTATCCTCATAGAATCTTATATACTTGACTTTGTATCTAAATTGGAAAGAGGCTCCTTCCCTTCTTGAAGCTTTCTATACAAAAATTAATATGGGGCACTATCCAAATACTTGAAAACCATTCCTTACCATTCTTTCTTTCTCTCAAATACATCTCATTTATGTTTCAGTAAATGTTATAGTTAACAGAAGATATCTTCTCTATACTTGTTATATACCAAATTAATATCTATCACATATTGTGGTTCTAGATTTATTTGTGTTCCTTGCCAATTATTATAGACTATTATTTTAAGCTATGGTTGAACCTCCGACGCCAAGTCTCAATCCTACGCAGATCCGGTCCAGCCCTCGATGGTATTCCTTACCTTACGGACAGTTTGGTCCGATGGCAGATGCTCTACAGAGTAGACAAGAAATATTGGCTGAAGCGTTCGAGTTGATGGCTGCAAAGCAGGATCGATGTATAGAGCTTTTGGAAAAGTGAGTGGATCCTATTCTATAGAATATATAATACGAGTGAAGTTCTAATATGAATATGGTGTAGTTTACTTGAGGGAAAACCACCTGGTGCCAAGAAATCTCAGTCCTCAACACCTCGAGCTGGACTCCCGAAGTACAAGAAAGCTGGTGTAGATTTATCTTTGTTAGAAGGTAAAACAGAGTTTTTGTTGTCTCGTTCAATTGGTTGGTTGGAAAAGGAACGTGGGATGTTCTTGAAAGTACGCGGAAAGAATCTCATCGAATTGAGCAAGCGTTGGGCAGATTACTTGATGAGGATTCTAGGAGGAGATGTAGACGACGAATACAACGAAGAAGATGGAGATAGCGAGAAGGATATTGTCAAGATGCTACGTACATGGGACGAGAAGCAGATAAGTGAAGCATATATGTCAATCGGAAAGCTTTATTATAAGCCCAAGGAAATGAAGGAGAGTGAAACCGCGGTTGGAAGTTCAAGCAAGGTGGTTAGAAAGAAGAACCAAAAGAGGGCAAGGATAGAGGAAGAAGAGGAAGAAGAGGTCGAAGAAGAAGAAGAGGAAGAAGAAGAAGAGGAAGAAGAGGAAGAAGATGGTCCTGTGATTAGAAGAAAGAACAAGAGAAATAAAGGCCTGGTTACTAGTCAAAGAGAACAGGAGATTTCGGAACAGAATGAGTCCGCCGAAGACCTAGATGGATCAACACTTTTTATATAGCAGATCTCAGAGTCATTTTACAAATAGCAAAGCAATCAAGATCTGGCAAATACATTGTCTAGTATTCATACTGTTATGATATGTGTTTTGATACTCACATTTATGCTATCATCATTATATTAAACCAAATATCTATCTGGGAGTACTTACCATAGTTGGCTAAGAGTGTAATGAATCAATTCGGAGATTTAGTGAATCATAATGGAAGTTTGAAGCAGACTCGTTTGAGAAAATCAAACATCAAAGCTACGGTAAGTACTCCAGCAAATCTTCGTATCAAGAAAACTTCACCTTCGAGTGAATTTGAAACGGATCAATGGTTGTTCCATTACGCTAAAATCTGGGAATAGTTACTGGTTTTCTTTCTTCCTTTAACAACATACTTCTCTTCTCCATTACAACTATCCTTTTACTCTTCGATCTATAGCAACGTTCACCTCAAACCCTCAACAACTGTCTTGCTTAGCTACCTTTGATTATCAGTTATTATTATATTCCATCATAACTTTTCTTTTCGTTTTATCCATTGTCAACCCTTCATCTTTCTATTATTATTTTCAATGGAACAAGCTCTATCATCTATCGAGCAACCTGATATTGAAGATGAAACGACTGGAGAGATTCAGTCGCCCTTTTTGCCTTCTCTATCTCCCCGCACAGCTTTTATAATGAGAAGAGAACTTGGAAACACCGAGCAGAAACCTGATATCGAAGATGAGGCTGTTAGAGAGCCTTCCACGCTCTTTGTTACACCAGTACAATCTCGTACAGTTTCTCCCGCTGCTTCCGTCGCGAGAGAAGTTGCTTTGAAGCAGGAACTTGCACCAGAGATAGAGAAAGATGATATTCCTGGAGATTTACAAAACTTTTCCATAGGTAATCAATCACTCTTTCAAAGTAGCTGATGGAAACTGACAATTTTTGGGTACAGCAGGAAGCCCAGCTCCAGTCACGGTGGGCACCCCCAAAGACGAAACCCCAAATGCCGAAGAACAAGGAGATCCTGAACCACCCGCGGAATCGAATGATATCGAAGCTTTAGATCTCACAAAACCTCGTGAAAAGATACCGACCATTCGCTGGATTGACGAAATGCTTAGCAATTACACTGGATTAGTTGGCAATCTGACCTTCTTCAAAAAGTCCAAAAAGTTCCAAGAGGACATTATTCAAAGTCTCGAGGAAAAGAAAACTTATTGGAAAAGTTTTCTCGCTACAGATACTGATGCTGGGCTTTTTTATGAGTCTGATGACGAAATAGAGAACGAAAGAAGAGATAAGCGTTTGAATATATTGATGTTGGCGAGGGTTATATATACTGCATTGGACAATCTTCATGCTATTTTGGTCCCATATGATCCATCAGATGCTGATGTGATCTTTGGAAGAGCTCGCTGGTCACACCGTGAGATTCGAAAGATTTCGAGAAAGCCAAAAGACGATGTAACCGGTGAATCAAATGAAATTCGCAATCAGAGCGGCAACCTCTCAACGGACGAGGGTGAACATTCCAATAAGGACGAGGAAATGCCCGACATTAAGGACAAGGATAAGGAAATACCCGATGACGAGGACGAGGAAATGTTCGATGACGAGAGTCAGAGTGGACAGTATTTGTATATGGGAAAGTACTGGGAAGGCCTAGACTCAGATGGGGAAAAAATATATACAGAATGGAGAGAGAAGAAAGGATCTCGAAATGGCAAGTGGGTTATTGTCAAGGGACCGGCAAAGCATGTGCATTCGGATGAAGATTTGGCAGTTCCAGATATCATCAACCGGGAGACTATTGGAAAACGCAGAAGGGTGGCACAGCAGGCAAAACGAGGTTCAAATTTAAAGAATCCTCACTTGCCGCCCTTATTAGCATCGGAAATGCAGGGAATATGGCCTGCGAAATCCAGAATTTCTATTCCGTGTGTCGAATGGAAGTCAATGAAAGATATTATCGCCATTGCTAAAATCTCCCGGGGTGAGGGTAACGGAAAGACCGCAGCGATCTGTCGCCATTATGCAGCCTGTTATGCTTACTCCTACCGGGGACAGTTATACCGTGAATTTTGGCCCTTCACTAAGATGGTAGATAAGAAAGGAGTCCGGGTCATAAGCGATGAGGATATCAAGCGAGTAGCTGCTGGGTCCTTGAAGCCTGGTTACATTCTTCACACTCAATATCCGGATTCCATCAACGCACAAGGCAAAATCGCGCTTAGCATCTCCAAGAGTTTCCTCGATGCCCATAGCCTATCTACCGGACGATTCACCCATAAAGGACCGAGAACTGTCAAGGAACTATCATCTCTTTCAAGATCCGCTATATTAGTAAATTCCGGGCTTTCAAATGAAGCTAAATTCGATGTTAAGTCTGTGACCGCTGAGTCGTTTGGCAAGAAGCAGCTGAAACAGCATGTAGATGATCTTCTAGTCGCAAAAGTCGAAGCGGAGAATCATAAACTCAGAATGCTCCAGGCTGAAGAAAAATTCCGCAGTGTAGGTGCTAGCCAAATCAACGAAGCTAACCGCGAAATCTCAGCATTGAAGCGTCGAATCCGTCAGCTTGAGGAGGCAAAAGTTCGCGAGGTCAAGGATCTGAGATCTCAAATCCGGATCATTCGAAAAGCTTGCAAGTGTGGTGCTGGGGTCACTAAGGTCCAGCCTGAGCCAAGTCAGTCTTCTGGAGCCTCGGGTGACACATCAAGTGAAGAATCTTTGGAGGAGGGAGACATTTCAGATGCTGATGAGCCTAAGGGAGATATTTCGGAGGTTGAAATGTCTGATGAAGACATTTCAGATGCTGATGAGCCTAAGGGAGATATTTCGGAGGTTGAAATGTCTGATGAAGACATTTCAGATGCTGATGAGCCTAAGGGAGATATTTCGGAGGTTGAAATGTCTGATAGAGAGATCTGAGTGGTTGATGAGCTTGGTGCAGATATTTCAGAGGTTGATATTTTTAGTCGTAGAGGGTTTTTTTTTATTTTTAGGGTTTACATTTTAGTTCGTCTTAAGCTTTATTCTATTACCTGAATATATTTGCACATTCGGGGGGAGGCTTTCTCGATATTATTTCTCTAACTTAAATAGCTTATATCTTTAATGAATTTAATAAATCCCATCAAATCATCAAACTATTATATTGTTAGAATATAGAAAGTAGTTTTCCATTTTTTTTTTAAATAGACTTAAAATACTTTAATATATTCTTCATCGAGCTTACTTAATAATTAGAAGTAAATTATTACTATTATTATTACTATTATTATTACTATTATTACTATTATTACTATTATTACTATTATTACTATTATTACTATTATTACTATTATTACTATTATTACTATTATTACTATTATTACTATTATTACTATTATTACTATTATTACTATTATTACTATTATTACTATTATTACTATTATTACTATTATTACTATTATTACTATTATTACTATTATTACTATTATTACTATTATTACTATTATCATTACTATTATCATTATTATTAATATTATTATTATTATTACTCGACGAAATAACTGAAATGTATGATATATATAAAAATCAATTATTATTTCTATAAATCTATATAAACTATATTAATTAACTATAATATTAAACTATTTAAAATAATTATTACTTTTATATTATAATTATGATTAATTATACTTATGTTAAATTATTATTTGAAGTTTAGTTTAAAGTTTTTTAAAAGATTTTTAAATACTTTTATATGATTCTAAAAATGACTTTTATAATAATAATATTTATCTTATATTAATATTTATTTTATAATAAAGATAAAACAACTAGTAATAGTAAATTAATCAGTAAGTATTAATTAATTAATAAATATAAATTAAATAAAAAAATAAATTTATCAAAATTATAGAATAAATATTATACAATTGGAAATCAATAAATTTATTAAGTTAATCAATTCATTGATTGATTTTAGAAATAAAGATTTATATAAATGATAGGTTTTTATTATAATATTAAGCTTTATATTTAAAAAATTATTAGATTATTATTATAATTATAATATTACTTGAATTCCTATTTGAAGTTTAGTTTAAATTGTTTTAAGAGATTATTAAATATTCTTATATAATTCTAAAAATAGCTTTTGTAATAGATGTAAACTCTTAATAAAAATAAACAAAAACAGTCTTATAATATTAATAATTATTATTTATTCAAATATATATTCTATAATTGAAGCTTATTATTTAATAATTAATATCATTATATAATATAATTATAAATAGACTTCTTCATAGAGACTATGTATTATAATTATTATCTATTAATATGAGAAGAATATAAATAAATAAATTATATAGACTTTAATTATCAATATGTATTTTATTTAATAAACTAGCTATAGTATTAGGGTATAGACAATTGTTGCCAAGAATTTCCCCAGAATTTGATTTCAATTATAATTTATTTAATCCTTATTATTAAATTAATTAATCAATATTTTATATTTATTTTTTGATAATCTCTTGATTTATATATATATATTCTAATAATATAAAATTCTATAATTATAATTGTATTATATTTTCTAATGTTTAGTATATTAATTTTCTATTTTGATACAAATCTTTATTCTACTTTTTATATTAATTTTCAATTTTATAAATAAATTGTTATTTAATATATTTCAAACCATTTATAAAATATTCTTTAACTTTTATTTAATGTGTTCTGATCAATTTTTATTTATTGTAATATTTGGAAATATTTCAAAAATATGTGTCTTTAAATATTATTATATATACTTTATAAAATTAAAATCTGAATTATAAAAAGGCTAGAAATCAATTAAAAAAATATCTTTTTCCTAAAACTAAGCTAGTATTTTACAAGCTTGATATATAAAAATATTATCCTATATAAATTGATATTTTTTATTTAATTCTTTTTAAAAAAGAATTACTTCTCTATTAAAATTTTTAAAATAAGAATTAATATTATATTTAAACTTTTTATTCTCGAAATCCCTATTTATAATATATAACTTGCTTCTTTTAATATTATAAAAGTCTTTTTATATTATGATCTTTATATTTTTATATATATTATAGGTTTGAATTATATTCTAATTCTATTTCTAATTTAAGAAATAGAATATTTATTCCTATTTCATCTTTCTTCTCTATTCTACAAAGTATTTATTCAATTAGAAAACTAGTTCTTATTTCTTTACTATTCATTCTTTATAATTTAAATATCAAGTTAGTCTTTTAATAATATATTCTTTTATAAATTCAAACCTTTTTCTAATTTTCCAATTAATAATTCTATATATTTTAAAAATTCTTTTAATAATATCTCTTTTGATTTTAAATCTATAAACTATAATTATCGTTTAATAGATTAATTTAGATTATAAACATATATATTATATTATTTTGTATTCCTTTTTATTTATATAAAGCCTTCTCCTATACTTTTTAGATAGATCTTTTTCATTATTATATAATTTATTTATTTTAGTAGTATATAATATTATTGTATAAGTAATTCCTAGAGTGTTTGTAATCTTTATAGAAATAGTATCTGCTAAGACTATTTCTGATATTTTATTTCTATTATTTAAATTGAAATGTTTTTGAGGAATATTATTATTATCAATTGATTTTAATAGAACATATATTGATAATATCATTGATAAATTAAATTATTAATATTAAGAGAAATATATATAGAATAATATAATTTATGCGTTTTAACTACTATCTGTATACGGTTACTATAAGTATAAATGAAGTAGCTTTTATATAAAAACTATTTAAAGAACTAGCCTTAGCTTTTACTTAGATTAGACTATATAAGTTTTTAATTTAAATCTACATTTATATACTATCTATTTTCAATAATAATAAATAATAATAATAAAAACGTATTTAAAAATTAAATTACATTGCGTTTATTTAAATTTATTCGAAATATTCTACATGCTAATTTATTATTTGATAGCTATAAAGTCAGTAGTAATAACTTATAAACACTTTGATGTGAGATAAATTATTTGAAATTACTCTAAATTTTCATTAAAAATTAGAATTAATATATAAGTTATTATTACATTAGTTTTTTAGTAATGAAAATCGTAAATATTCGAACTTTCTCTAAAATATAATAGAAAAAAGAGAGTATAGAATTCTATATTTCTAATGTGTAATTATTTTCAAAATCTATAAATAAATTACTAAAATATAACCATTAAAAAAAGGTAAGATTACATTTTGAAGTGATTTTGAAATGACTTCATATGATAATATAGTTTACATATATATATAAACCGTATTAATATTATCGAGAAACCAAAGAATTTTAGAAAAAGTTTATATAATCGTAATTACAAGTCATAATCAAACTTCTAGAGATAGCAAGTGTATATATTATCTATTCTAGCTATCATTTAGAACTAATCTAAGGTCTAAAAGGTTTGTTTGATCCCGATATGAACATCTTATTATTCCTCATACCTTCTAAAAACTTGGCAAAATCATTCATTCCATCTTCTCCTTTCAGCAAACTCATTTCGCAAGGCACGGGATTGAGACCATAAAGCAGCAATGGTGATCTACTAGTCTCGCAAGGCACCGGATTTGGCCCTGCAAGCAAGGACACTGTTCCGTCTGCCTCCTTCACCACCTTTGATACGCTCAAACTCTCCTCAAATTCATCATCTTTTCGAAATTCATCATATTTTCGCTTCCTATAATGATTCTTTCCGGTTTCCGCACCTGTGGAGAAGTCATCCTCAAGCCAATGATCAGCTCTGATTGACATTTGGTGCTGAGACCTGCCCAGAGCCCTTGCATCTCTTATGATATGCAGTTTCAAATCTTGAAGAGTTCGATATGTCGTGTGCTCCCCCTTCGGACATGATGGATATGGACACTTAAAATCGGTTTCGCGAGGATTAAGCATCTTCATCCGTCTCGAAAATCGTTTATTCCCATTATGGAATCCGGAAACCTGATGTCTCTCCAGCCTTGACAAAGATTCCCATAGCTTCTCCTTCTCTTCAACACTCGTTGTTTTATCCTGCTCACATAAACCACAGGTATAGCCTTTCGAATCAGGAATTTTTCGCGCAGCCGTTCCAAGTGTTGGCCTCAATGTTACCGGATCCTCTTCCATCAGCTTCTCCAAGAACGCCCTAACAAAAAACTCATACGTTACATTGTCCGACACATTGCTCTCAGAGCTCTTTTTGCCATCCACAAAAATCTCAGAAATCATCACATCATCCTGCTCCCCATCCTCAGCGTTTCCCAATGATAGAGACTCATCACCAGCCTCATCACCGAAATCTATACCCAGATCATCACTTAAATCAACATTGTCTTCATCATCCTCAGGTGCATCCTCATCTTCATCCCCAGCAGCCAGCAGCTTTGCCCTCGCCAACACTTCTTCGAACAGTTTCCCACTATTAGTCAATGCTTTGACCCTGGCCGCATATTCATCCATCGAGTGAAGTTTTTCGTATTCGGCTCTCATGTGTGCCCTGAGAGCGTGTCTAGCTCGTAGTCTTGCGCATCTAGATGCATTTTTTCTCTCAGCTGACGTAGTTGCTTGTATATATCTTTCGTCATACTGAATGAAAGTGTTAACGAATTTCTCTTCGTCCTCCCGAGAGAGATTATAGCAGATTCGATGTAGGCAAGCCTGCGTCGTCGATTCTACAGCCTCCTCCTCTTCATTTAGAGCGATCGCCGTTATATCTAGATCAACCAATGCGTCGTCATAATACGTCTCAAATGTAAAGTCGCCGGGACTATGTCCTAAGAACGCCCTAGCTCTACTTCGACCTTTAATTCTATCAACTCGTACACCCGCCCCTTTCCTCCAAGCGTAAAAAGTTGTTGTCTCAGTATAGCCTGCAGCCAGTGCCCTAGTCTTAAAGTACCCAGAAAGCCCGTTAGTCGACAAAGGGCGACCATCCTCATTGTAACCTCTACCACCAGGCTTGCCTGCTAGGAAGATAGGCTTGTCGAGATATTCCGTCTTGATGCTGATCTTTCTAGGCGCAGATGTAGATGACGTCAACAATTCATCAATCGTCTCGATTCCATCGAGTATGCCCCGTTGGAGCATGATTGCAAGAAACCTAAGCGCAGGCGAGAACATGATATTTTGTACCAACTTTGGATGTCTACTATATTGCTTCAACTTCCGTCGATTCACTTCGGTTCCCTTATCAACATTGATACTTCGGTCTGTCTTTAGGTATACATATCCGATAGCACAATCAAAACGGCCGATATGATTACCTCCATCTAAATAAAATGAGTTAATGAGAGTGAGGTAATGAGAAGATAGATATGTGTATACCTTGTCCTTCAAAAACCCGAGTAATTTCAATATCCCTCCATCTCAAATATTCCCCGGGCCTATCCGAGAGTTGCGCCAAAGAGCATGGTCTAACTCCATTAAGACAGCTTAAAACCCATGCGAGTGCATGTTGTTGAGAGAACCGAGGAGACGACGCATATTCCAACTCCCAATCGAGGAGTTGACGTAATTCAAACTTTCCGAAATATGAATTTCCATTTTCCTGACCTGGAATAGGGATTCCACCCCAAATAGTGTTCGCTGCTAAGTTAAGCCCTTTAGAGATCTCAATTTTCATTTTGGGATAAGAGTAATAGTTTTGGGGCTGGCGCTTCATAGTAATGAATTTCAATAACGTTGTGCGTCGAGCCGTCGCAGATCCGATAGATGGTCGTGCGTCGGTTAATCGTCTTGGCCTCGATTTTTCCATCCATCTACCAATCATGAATATACAATCTTTGATCAACATGTCCTGGGGCTGATTGAATAGGTCCGAATCGTAAGCACCTTTCATGTATTCATTAAAATCATTCCCCGGAAATTGTCGATTCGTTCGTGGATATCGAACCGCCATTGCAATTCGGAACTCTTTGAGATGTCCATCTTCTTTACGTATTGTACGTGGAGCACCTAAGAGTGACACACAATTAGTTTCATTCTTCGAATCCAGTAACCTTTCAACTAAAAGAAACTATTTACCAATACGATGAGATTCTGCGTTCTCAACAATAGCATCAAGTCTATCATACAATGCTTGCTCTTCATCTGTAATGCTTGTCAATTCATATATACCATCACTATTGAGCCAAATAGCATCAATTTGTTGAGCTATTGATCTTCGAACAGGAGCCCGAGATTGAGGAGGAGGGATTCCGGGTAATGTGAACTGCATATTGACATTGAATCAAGATATCGAATTCCAAATAGAATATAAAAAGACTGTGAAGAAAAGTAATGTTACAAAGGTGTCGAGGTATAGAGGTATAGAGGTGTAGAGGTATAGAAAGAGGGAGAGGAAGAGATAGAAGAGAAGGTTACCCCTCTTTAATGCTCCACAGATTTGGAGCCCCACAGAATCCTAACTGCCATCATTACACAAATTGGTATTGAGCACACTCTTTGCAGAAATAATAATTTCATTGTATTAAGAAAGGATACTTTGCAAAGAAAAAATCCAAAGATTGAAGCATTTGAAAATAAACTCTATAATCCCAAGATCCTCCCGCATGTAATCCTGACCTCTTCGAAGCAAAAACTTTATGCACTGAAAATTTACAGCGAAGCTGATAGGACCTCCTCTCTTTTTTTTTATGATTTCGAAGATTGCTATAACCAACTGATGAAATTTAGAATTGATCGAACTACTTTTTCTTGATATGATTCATTTTCATTTTCGAATCTTGAAGCTCGGTAACCAAGCGCTGAAGCTTAGACTGAGCTTCGGTAGGTACCCCCCAAGAAATTATTCAACCAAATACATTTGTAGCTTTGATTCAATCATCTTAATCAAGACATATATCATATCTATATAAATAGGTATTGATTAACATATAAAGATACAAACTTTATATAGTTTATCTACTCAAAAGAATATATATATAGGAGAGCTTTTTATTTACTTTCCTTTCACTCCTTACTATTCAGTTTATGGTTGAAAGACACAGAATTAATCTCTTGCCTGCTTCCTTTTCAATCTTATTATATCTAAGATCTATAGATTTACTAGTACTCTTGTTGCAAATACTATTCCAACTACAGCTTTCGAAATCAAATACCAAATACCCCCCCGACTGTCATTCTCCAATATTAAAGAAAGTAGTCAGTGTTTACTACAAATGCTAGAGCAGATGATAGAGTAGATGATAGAGCAGATGATGGAGTAAATGATAGAGGAGATGATAGAGCAGATGATGGAGTAAATGATAGATTAGATGATGGAGCAGATGATGGAGCAGATGATGGAGTAGATGATAGAGTAAATAATGATAAGTTTTGTGTGTGGGATACTTTGACTTGAAGCTTCCAATCTACTACGGTAGGTATTCCGATCTGCGATACTAAAGCTTTCAAAAGGATAAACGGATTTTGATTTGTTTGAATAAAAAGAGAATAAGGATTCGAAGAGAAGAATTAAAGAAAGAATGAGGTTTCGAAAATGAGGATTGAAGGAAGAATGAAGTTTCGAAGAGAAGAATTGAAGAAAGAATGAGGTTTCGAAGAGAAGAATTGAAGAAAGAATGAAGTTTCGAAGAGAAGAATTGAAGAAAGAATGAGGTTTCGAAGAGTAGAATTGAAGAAAGAATGAGGTTTCGAAAAGAAGAATTGAAAAAAGAATGAGATTTCGAGAATGAGGATAGAGGGAAGAATGAGATTTCGAGATTGAGGATTGAAGAACGAGTAAAAAGGAATGAGATTACGAAGAGGAGAAGAATCAACAGCGGTTAGTACTCTTGAATATAAGAATGCAAAAAGATCAAATGATAAAGATATTTTAGAGAAGAATGAAAACAAAAGAGAAGAATCAATACTGATGCATAGACTCTGAGATCATCTGAAGTTGGAAAAGGTGGAGGAAAAGAAGGGGCAATGCAAAAGGTAAAAGATTAACAACGAGAGAATTCCTACGAATGAAAAATTGATTGGTAAGACACATGACGGGTAATATAATCAGTTGTGTGTTTATGTAAAGAAAAAGATAATTAATCTAGCATTGTATTTGGCATGTCCGGTCAGATGTCGCTGCGAGTGGTTTGCTGATTCGCTTATCAATGACGCTATCTTGATCCACCTACGCTATGACCACCAGAGCGATAAAATCTGTGAATGCCTTAGGCAAGTGCGGGGAAATGCTACCAAACTATCGACCTTGAGAGAAAAAGTAGGATTCCGTATTCCTTTGCTTCAATCCAGCTACCCATTAACCAATAGCTTATACACAGATTGCAACTCGATATCTGTCTCGAAATCCATAGATCTTTTTTTCTATTCAACAAGCTATTCATAATTTCCTCTCAAATGGGATCTTGGCAAGCTTACGAATTCTTATCGAAAGTGAAAAGGTGAAACAATTCTGACCAAAGCGGGAGCAACTTGATAGTCTGGATAGAATTATAATGAGAGAATGAGTGATAGGAATTGTATTTCCTGCAATGATTGCAGCGAGTATTGTGATTAAGCAAGTTAATAAACTAACAAACTTACTGGAATTACAACTACAAAACATGTTAGAGATATGAAATCTTTTGTAGGTGGTGCAGTTGGATACGTGGAACCAGCAGACTTTCTGCAGTTGACTAGATTGAACATGAATTATCAAAGGTTATTGAGTGCAAAAAGTTTCCTAATACTAGATAGAAAACTTCATTTTCCATGTAAAGTGTTAACTGTATTGTGGTGAAAGCAGAAGCAGTGTATGGTTTTTCAGTATGTGATAATTGTAAACTAAAGGTTGAAACTCCGAATAGTAGAAGGTAATGCCAGGAGGAAAACCCGTGGTTTCATATGTGTATCCTCAGAATATTAAAAGATAAGCGTTTGTTCTGGGAGAAATAGCGAGAATAACTGGATGGGATACTTACCGAAGGATGAATCTCGAAGTATACACGAAAAATGTACTTATCATAAGAAGATGATATGATTGAGTAGAATGATATATGCTTGCTTTCTGGCTACACAAATATAACCATAGCATATATATATCAAACCGAGGATGACGCATGATTTTTCGGATTGGGGTACCTACCGAGGATGGAATCTGCTTGAAACATGAACTATGCTCAAGGTAGAAATACATATTTGTTTAACGATTTGGAATAGGTACATACAACTCTTTATGAGTGTTATGAGTATTATATGAGGTTTACTTGAGATTGGGGTACTTACTGTAGATCTCTTAGTTTCATTACTATACAGAAATGTATTTGAATATCCACGGCAATACCTAGGTGATTGATTCATTTGCTTGAATTACCTAGGTAGGTAGATACTTATACAATGAATATATTATCTCAAGTATCATACTGATTTAGGAATACAAAAGCAAATAGAACAACATATAATCAATTCGGAAATAAACCTATGGTAAGTACTCGGGGAAGGTATTCAGCTTGTCTTCAATTATATTATTAAATATATAAGTGGATTGATCAAAATGTATATATCTTCAAATCTTAATTTACACTCCAGGTATATAAGATGTATTTGAGACTATGGTAAGTACTCTATCTGATAAATAGATTTTATTAAAATACCTATTCTATTATATATGTTCAAAACTAGTAAATCACATTGACATGATAGGAGAAAAGATATCATCAGGTTTACGGTAAGTACCCCAGCTGTTATGAAAGTTGATTATCGTTTCATCTATCATGAAAGCTCATCATTAAATAATATCTACCCAACATTCAATCAATAGCCTAATCAATTCTTCATCTACATCGTTTGTATTCATATACATATTTGTATGATTTCGAATTTCTATGTTTGTCATATGAGCTGCGGTAAGTATTCCTTGAATTTCTAATTGAATGAAATGAAGTTTACCTCTCTCGATGTGAGGTCGATGTGAGGTTGTGAAAATCATAATACAACAATAAGAAAATGAATAAGAGTAAGGAAATGATACGAAGAGGGGCTTGATAAGAGCAAGGAGATAATGGAGGTACAAGTTTGATGAGGAAAAGAAATCATTGAGAGGGGAGGAAATTCTTGTTTCAGATTCAGATTCTAAGTTTATTTTTGTAAGAATAATAACATCGAAATACAAAGAGAGTACTTCGGTAAGTATACTGACACTTCCTTAGCAGTTAATTACCTTGTCATAATTCATCATTTAGATCAATATACTCAAGTACTAAAAATCAAATAATAAAATCTTTGATGACATAGTTTAATACCGAATGTTTAAGCATGACTCAGGGACAATGTAACAAAGAAAGTTCTATACTTTAGGAAAAAAAGTGCTGGTGATAAGAAAAGATCTAAATGTAGTATGAAGGGTTCCATGCTTTGCGAGAGGAATGAATTCTCGAGAGAAAAGATCTAAATGTAGTATGAAGGGTTCCATGCTTTGCGAGAGGAATGAATTCTCGAGAGAAAAGATAGAATGTAGTATGAAGGGTTCCATGCTTTGCGAAAGGAATGAATTCCCGAGAGGAAAAATAGAATGTAGTATGAAGGGTTCCATACCTCGCGAGAGGAATGAATTCCCGAGAGGAAAAATAGATTAATGGTCGCTATCGCTCCCATTAATCTCTTTCTCCCCTCGGGAATCCATGCCTCGCGAGAGGCATGGTTCGAGGTCTCCGGTTCGATCCCGGATTAGGCCCTGAAATAGAGTTTTATTTTTGCATGTGGACCACGTACTCCATGTCCCCACTTGGGCAAATACGTTTTGGCGCTAGAAAACTCGTCAAGATAAGAAATTAGTAGCATGTAGGAAAAGTTGAGAAAGAAGAAGACTTCTTCCACAAGACCAATAACATAGGTTTTCAAAGATCTCATTCGAATGCTTTTATTATTGGTCAACGAGTAGTTTATTCAGAAATTGACAAAAGTCTACCAAAAACATACTACTCACGATGGCAAAAGGAAATTCCGGTACGGGGAATTGAACCCCGGTCTCCCGCGACCTGATTGAAGCAATGAAGCTTCGATTGAGAGGCGGAAATGCTAGCCACTACACCATGCCGGATTGCTTGTTGTATGTGAATGGGGGGCTTTTGGGAGGATAAGTAGTACAGCCAAACGCTATGATCCCCTCATAGAATAATTTGGCTGTGGGCTCGTCTCAAGCTTATGAATGAGCCTTCAGTGTCCTAGCGTTGCAAGCAAAAACTCAGACAAAAAGTAAAATAAATCCAGGACATTCGGTCCCGGAAGTTGAAAGTG